CATAGAGTCTCCGAGCTCTTCTACACCAATACCTTCTAAGATCTGCTTCTTCACCTTTTCCTTCCATTTTTCCAGTGTGTTCCTTTGTGACTTAACATGGTCAGAGTCAATGTCTGTTGTTTGCTACCTGAGAACCCTGACTCACACTGAGGGAGTTGTGGCTGGTTCTCCCAATTAATCAATCACACAATTTTGAGTCCAAGGTGATAAGTCTGGCTTTTTTTGAGTCGTTAGATTTGCTCGCCCATGACCACACAGCATCTTTAGTCACAAAGCGACATTAGATGGAAGCTTGCCAGTGGATTGGCAAATCTATTGCTTATATGATGAAGATAAAAATTAAGTGCAAAACCCAATGATGGCAGGTCAACAGTGTCATTTCTCTCTGTGAAGATCAGAGACATCTCTAGCTGTCATTTTACAGACTCGATGCAGTGGTTAAAATTAAACTACTCAATTTCTCCAAACCCACAAAGAGAAGATAGAGTCAAAAGAAGCAGGTGTATATAATTTGGGTGGACAGGCCAAATTATAGGAGAAGCAGGATGAGAGAGAATATAATTATCTCTCATGTGAAAAAAAAAAAAAACCCACATATGCCTATGAACAGTGAGCATATTCCCCAGAAGAGAGAAGCCTATAACTGCTAGTGTTTGACCACATGTCCCTGAGGGAAGACCTCTGCTATGGAGGTCACACTGTCAGAGTGGCAGACCACAGTAGCTTCTAACGGGAGGAAAGAAAGTTTATGCTGGATCTCAGATAAAATACCCTTGTTTCCAGTTCTGGTGCTTGCATAAAAAAAACTGTGTATCTTTAGACAGCTGATTTACTTTTCCTGGCTCTTAGTTACCTATAAGAATCAAGAATTAACCCAAATCCTTTCTAAAGTATTTTTCCTAGTTTTAAAATCTCTGATTTTTGTGAATATCCAAGTAATTACAGCTACTTTCAATTCATTCACTATAATGTTTCATTGTGATTATTAATATTTAATTGAATAACTACTTCTATAAGACTTTAAAACATTAGATGTATTTTATGTGTGCTAAAGTCTGCAGACTGCCATTTTCCCTTTTTTACTTATTTCTCATCAATGAAATTCAATATACATTTATTTCTTTTACAAATACTTCTTGAACACATTTTGCTCTGAAGTGCAGTGTACCATAATGGCGACTGGCACATACGAGCATCAATGAATGTCAATTGAGTCACTCATTCTCAAAATGTACAGCAGAATGAGGTTTACCAATTTTTAAAAATTTGCTCCAATAGACTTAAAAATATCAAGTATAAATAACTAACAAGAACAGTAATGGTGTGCAATGTTTATTTTCTTTTAAACACACACTGCTTTAGTGGGAAAAACACATTACCCTTTGTAACACGTCCTAATGATACACTTTGTTGTATTTCTCTCTCTCCTACTTTCTCTAAAACTTTCTCTGGCTTAAGATTCAGCCAACTAAAAACAAACATGTGGCTACCACATTGGGGACAATTGAAAGTGTTTGTGAGCCCTATGGGAGACTGTCTAGACACACATTGTGCTCTCTGTTCAATGACAAAACTATTATTCACAATATTGGAGAAACCACAGTTTCTTCTATTCAATACTGAAATAATAATATAGTAATAATAATAACTGCAGCGACATTAAGATATCTTTAGCTTTTTAGCTTTGGTAAGACCTACAGCTGATTTCACTTTGATGTTAAGACTTTCTTTTTGCGGATTTTTTTTTTTTTTTCAGTATATACCATAAGAGGAAGAGAGAAGGAATTCTTCTTCTTTTAGCTTCTAGGCTATCAATATCAAGGACTTAAATTGTGATGTCTGGCCCAGTGACCAAGAAGTGAAAATTATCATAAGTCTGTGTTCCTGATATTGTCAACTGTATTTATATTTTTGGGTAATTCATTTCATACAATTGGAAAGGAGTGTTACACAGAAGGCCCAAACCATATAGTAGGTCACTGAATGACCTAAGCCAGAATACCAATGCTTTAAGTAAAGGACTCCAGGTTGAGCATAAAATCTTTCGTTTGGGGCTCAGGAAACTCATACAGATCTTGTTCATTGGTGAAGACTAATGTTCATATGTGTTTTGGTGTCATGTATTTTGAAAGCATCAACAAAGAATACAATAAAGTATAAAGTTGGACATCTGTAAAGGGAAAATAATTGAGAAAAGGTAATTTCACATCTTAAAAAAGATAATTCAGAAAGAGTAACAGTGTAATAAAGGACCAGAAATCTTTTTACTTGGAGTAAAATGGAAGAGAGGAGTAAGTAAGTCTTAAAGTTAACAGTGTGCTTGTGTTCCCTTCTCCTTATTCTTGTCTTCTGCCACATACCACTTCCAGTACTCACCCAAATATAAAAAGTAGACAGTTGGTACACACTTGTCTGTGTGTGAAGACTGAACTGGGAAAAAAAAAAAAAAAATCTTGTAAACAGACTGGGTTGGAGAATTCCAGAAATAATGAATTTTAAATATATCTTGTTTGGTTACCTATCCCCTTGGGCCACCTAGGGAATGGAAAAGTGGAACTTAACCCTAGGGAATGGAAAAGCATTTCATTCTGCCATCCTTAATGCATATTTATATATGATTGAGTAAATAATGTTAGTCACTATAACAAAATGAAAAAAATGAGAAGAGGTGAAGTTACGATAGGAGAATAAGTCTTTGAAATTCAGTGAATCAGAGTTCAAAGTAATTTGGTCATATTGACCACAAAAATAAGGGGTCAGCCAGTTGGCAGAACTGCCTACAAGTAAAGTCCAAGTGATTTGATTGGGCCTGATGGACTGTCCAATGACAAGGAAGCTACTGTTCTTCATGCTGTGGGGTGTACGGGGGTCATTTCTATTTTTTCAATTGATAGAATAAGGTATGCTCCTGGTCTACAACCTGGCTTGTGTCCTGTTCTTCATCTCTTCCTGGATTCAGCTCCACAGTCCCAGATCCCTAAATGTTATTTAATTTAATATAACCTGGGTGTGATCCTCTGAAATGGTAGGATAGAGGTGAGGAGGACGTTTATGCTTAACTGAAGTGTCTCCTTCATCTGCCTGTCATGCGTAGTGATTGCAATCCACCATTAATCATCCTTCTGCTTTAACTTAACCCTAGGTACACTGTTTTCCAGGAGAAGAAAGACAACAAATTACTAACAACCTAATGGAAATTATATGGAGTTTTTTTCTCCCCTATAAAACAATAGCTCTCAGAACTTTGAGGGTGTTGTATATGTTGGAATAGAGGCATAGTGGAAGGAAGATTTTGATGGAACTGTGAAGATGAAAACCTGTTTCCTGATTGAACTTGAGATCAGTTTTGAGAATCATAGTTCTTCTTCTTTCTGTTCTTGTTAGAGTACTACTCATTGTATTATCTTACTTCCTCTCAATTAAATAACATCATAAGCAAAGAATCAAAGATTTTAATATAATGGCTTTTAAAACTGAGAGAGTCTTTTAACTCAGGCCCAGTTAGTTATAGTTTAGTGCACTGTTGTTTCTAACCATGAGTTTCTTTGGCTCTATCCACTTTCTTTTCTTACATTTCAACTATTTCATAGCTCTATTCTAGAAGGTGGAAGATAAAAAGGGAAAAACTGAAGTTCATAGTCTGTGGAAATTGCGTCTCCTATAGGTCACATAATGGCACTGGACAGTTTGACCACTCTTCTGGGCTACTTATGAGAACAAGACAGTGACATAGCTTTTATACTTTATTCTCAAT